AAGTTTATGCCCAGAGGATCTTAGCAGGTGAAGAGGAATATATGCGCAAAGCCACTCCAGAAGGTATTTTAGACCCAAGGTAGGAAGCACTTTAAAGGTGTTTACCTACACCTTGTAATGTATCTGTAAATGTTCTGGCAGCCAGTGCAAAGACTTTAATATTGGTCTCCCCATGATGTCCTAGAGAGAAACCTGGCTGCCCTATTTTGTACTAGCTTCAGGTTCTGGAGTAGGCACAAGGGTAGCCCTATGTAGAATGTATTGTAGAAATCTAGTCTAGAAGTTCCAAGATATCCTAATGGTGCTAGAAAGCAAACTGCTAAAAACCTTCCAATTCATATTTGCACATACTCAAGCCCAGCCACTGGGAGCTCTGTAAAAGAAAGTTTCCTGCAAGCCAAATATTCCACTCTGGAAGGGGAGTGGTTAGGGGAATCTATCTCAACAACATTCCGTTGGTTACCACAGTAGTGCAGCAAGAAAGGTGGCTGGGACATTGTACGAGAACATTCCTGTCTGTTTAGCTTGCTGCAAGCAGCTGTGTGGGAGATGTGGCTGCAGGACTGACAAACTAGGAACTTGGAGGTGAGTTTGCAAAGCTGAAAACTGACAGTAATGCTGTCTATGAGGTGTTGAAGGGCTTAGTCAAGGGTACAAGAACCTTTCAGTTCAAACAATAGAGATGCTTCAGCAGCTATGGCAATAAAACATTCCTTCAGTTCTTCCTCAGTCCAGAGTTTGAACATACAGGGCCAAACCAAAGCCTTGTCATTTTAAGAACACTCAATTTATCATGTAAATATAAAAGCTTCTGGGTGTAATTCTTCCTACCTGACACACAAACAAGGTCACACAGCAAACCTGTCATAAATTACACAGTATAAATTACACAGCAAAAAGCAACAGGAAAAGAAAATGCAGAAACCTGGAAGCAAACAATAAATAACATGTGACAAGTTCAACTACTCCCAGGGTGTGTGCTTGCCAAAAGGACATTTTCAATATCCAGTACATTAGGAAAATGAGAAGTGAATGAGTGTGCTCTTTTGTCTTAAAAACAGTGAAGATTGGGATAAACCATCTCCCCTTCCCCTAAATTAAGTAGGGTCATCTAATATTTTCCCTAGTGATTTGGCATTATATGAGGTACATGTGCATGTAGGCACAGGCTCATGTATTTTTGTAGCTCAATTTACTGCTGATCACTTCAAAACATTTGTATGGTGTACTGTAGTGTTTTAAATTGCTTCCCATATGTTATTTCAGAATTATCATCCCCAGATTGCGGATGCAATATTGAGGCTCATGATAGCTTGCCGAAGGCAACCTAAGGAATTTAACTTTGTGGTTCTGAAATCTGAAGACAAAATCCAGGCATTTTTTGCTCATAGCTTACATTCTTAACAACTACACCACACAAATTCTGTGACTATTTGTGGCATACACATGTTCTTATCTTGCTAAGGAGATCTGCAAGCCTCTGTGTATAATCACTTTGTGAATCAGAATCCATGTGTGTACATCTGCTGCATATCCATATTTGCATCTAAGTGTGAACACCTTCCATTCACTTTGCACTGTTTTGAGTGGAATGCACACCCAAGAATGCATTCAAATGCATGTAGCTATACTCTCATGCCAACACAACTAGTCCATCATAAACTATTAATTCTCCATAAAATAACATCCATGTCATCAGTGAAAGTGGCCATGATTTAAAACCTGATTTGTAGGATAAAAATGCATTTATATATTACATATTTCATTTCTATATCACTCAATAGCTGAATGTGTGTCTTTCTGCCTGTGGCTCCTATACAGCAAACATACAATGCTCTATCCCTCGATCTGATATATAGACTGTTGGGATGGGCTTTTCTTTTGAAAATGAAAATGAGTTATGTTCTTCTTCTGAAAATACAAAATGTCTCTTTGCAAAAGTACAATTAAGTACTCTTAGAACTGTATCATACCTGGTCCCTACAGATGTCACTGGTCAAAAATTTTGTTACTTGTAACATCTAGGGATCTATGGGGAACAATTATCTAGAAAGTACCAGCATGAAATAAGATCACCAACCATGATAGCTAGCAAGGCCATAAAGCATTCAGAAGCAATATACAGCACTAATGTGTGTGGAGATTAGCTGGACAGAGACATAATTATCACAGTAACTAAAAAAAAAATCATGGGAGTGACATCATGCACTGTCCTTCAAATGGATTTCTTACAAGAATCTCAAGACTTCATTTCGAAATAATACAGTACTGAAATGCTTATTTCTACTAAATTTTATTCAAGTTTGCCAAACAGCTAAACATATACACTGAGGCTTAACAGCACCAAGTATCATTATCCCCCTTTTTCATTAACTTAAGAAAAGGAAGCAGAAAACAAAGTACCCATAAACATTGGATGTCCTCTAAAAACAGAATGGAAAAGCAGAGGTGGTGTACTGGATAGCGTTTGCAGCTATGGCTTTATAAAGCATCTGAGCATAATCTGGCATAAAAAAAGGTCATTGAGGAGAGCAAACACAGCCATGTCTTATTAAAAATGGAATTGAACTGTATCTGAATGAGGTTCTCTCTTCATCTAATATGTTTCAGTAGTAACCCAGGTCTCTCAAGCTGTACTTCAGCCATTCTGACTTGCCTTTAAATGTATCGAGACAGCTTAGTGACATTTTAAAAACTGAAGGATAATTTATTGGCCAAACAGCTTGCCAAGGACTTGGGGCATGACTCCTATGGGATGCAAGGAACAAGAATCTGTTTGACACAGTACATAGCTAGTGTGCACAGCTCAATGAGGATACTATAGCAGGCAATAATAGCACCAGAATTTTTCTTTTTTAAAGAAAAGATTAAATTATGGTGCATTGGATAAAGAACAGCAGTTAAGTAAATCAGTCCAAAGATGTGTATTCTAGCACTCAGAATAGTCTTTCTCTTTGTTCAGAAAAACAAAGGAAGATAGTTCCATAACTGTCCTATTTCTTCCCATTCTTCAAGGCAAGATACTGGACATTAGGGTCATTAGACCCATCCCATCTTGTAGTTCTAGCTAGCTCAAAGTTATAAGAAAGTAATGCAGGTATGAAATCTGGAGTTCTGGGGCTTTCTGAAGTCAATGGGCTATGGCAACTCATTCTGGCTTGATGAGCTGCACTTGGACCAGTGAGATCCCTTTTCCCTGACAAAATATATCTTTGGCAAGAGAAGAGATGGGGCAGAAATAGGACAACAATGGGGAAATGTGCATTCACTGTTTGAAGCTCAGAGAGCTGCATTTTGTGCTTAAAGATAAAGCTGTGGATGGCAGAACAATGAGTTCACAGTTTATAAGTGTTCTGGAGTGCTTGTTTAATTTAATAAACTGTGAAAATGTATATTTTCCTGAACTGAACAGACTAGCTGATGTCTCCTGGATTTTAGGGGAAAATCTTATAGACATTATGCCATCAGCAAAAGGGTCTCCCCAACATCTGGACTGAATAGTTGCAGAATGACTTTATTTCTTTTAAATTTGGACTACCAGTACAGAAAAAAAAATCAGAAGCTTGTACATGCTGGACTTCTAGAGATGGAATGTCTTTTTAAAAACATAAATCATCAATTGTAACATGTCACCAGCTTCCAAAAAGACATGCAATATAATGTATTTTAGTGACCTTTTACTACTCTTCAGAAATTTGTGTTTTTCCCTCATAAATTGCCTGAAGTAGAAGAAACAGAGGTTTAATATATTTAATTTAATCTAAATTAGTGTTAAGACCACCAAGGAATGTTTACAGTTGCTAAATTTGCAGTTGGTGCTTCTAGTTTAATAGGGAATAAGCAAATATCATAAAATCATGAATGACAATGAATTATATTGGTTAAGGAATGTCTGAAAGTAGCTAATGCTTAATGGCTCGCCACAAGGAAGGCATATAGTCTGAGCTGTATGAAAGCAAGTTTACTCTTCCCTACCAGTAATGAAAAAGGTCACTGCCATAGTTGCCATGGTATTTTCAGCCCTACAATCTGGTTGTAATATGCATGCTGCATATTAAATTAAATATATGCAAGATCATCCTCACGAAATTACTCTGAACTTGGATGAATTTAGCAGAAGACTACAGAGAATGAGCAGACAACTTATGCCATATCCTGAGACTGTGGCAATATGCTGTGCTTTGTCAGTCATACAGTATGGCTATTTCTTCAAAGGGCAGAGTGCTTCTTTCATGCATCTTCCCACTGATTATTCATTACAGACTCATTCAGGCTTTCTGATTTTGCACTTAGGACTGATACAGAAATGCTGTCCTTGTCGATCTATAACTTTAATCATAACCCTTACTGAAATCTATCAAAGATTTCCTGAAGTGAAAGATTTCTCCTTTGAACACACCCAGACTGTCATTTCCTCCACAGTTAGCTTGGCAAACTGGCTCTCAACTGGATGTGCAAGGCAGAGCAGTCTCACAAAAAGGGACACCCACCTGTACAGCCAGAACAAAACCACTTAGGGACAGAAGAACCACCACAGTGACACCACTAAACTTACAGTCGCCTACTGCTTGGGCTACCTGGGATAAGCACCTTTGCTCTATGACAAAGCCTACCACAGAGTACCCCTAAAAAGGGCTTGCAGGAAGATGTTCACTAAATTGACTGCTGTTATGCTGCTGAACACCATCCTGATGGAGTGACTTAATACCATGCAACCACACAGGATGCCAAAAAGCTCTTGGTCCTTACTGAGCCTAACATTCTTGGAATTTTTTTGCCAAACATAAATGCAACACTGCACTACAGCCCAACACTGCTTTATATGAACAGATTATAGCATACTTAACATCCTGCGGCTGCTTACATTCAGACTTCTAGGAATCTGAGTTACAATATACATCTTTGTGTAATGAAGGACAGTGACACCTGGACATATATCATAATAAAAGTTCTTCATGAGGCCACATTAGTATCTTGCCAACATTATACAATGAACTTACCATTTTGAAATTGAAGCACATGTGCTGCTAACAAAACATTAGCTCATATATTGATGAGTAAAACTTTGAATGGGACCAGGCAGTCATCCTGAGAGATTTCAGAACTGATGTGGGCTCCTGTACACGTTGCTATGATCATCCTAACTCTGTGGAACTCGCCAGAAGTCTCAATGCCAGAGTGCAATCTGCTCCTGTTTTTCAAATCTCATGGTTTCATCAGATGAAAGTCAAGAGCTTTAATACTATTTACGCCCCCAAAAAGAAGTACAGGGAGGGAAATGCAGTTGGGGGAGGGGAATGATACTAGAGAGCAGATAAAGTTCCAATTTGAGCAATAGGCTTAGCTGCTGTTCCCATTTTTAACAGCTGTAGCTGTGTGCAGATGGAAAACATTTGGTCAGACACTCGCAGCCAGCTAGTGTAATGAGCTCCTGCAGCTTCTCCAGTAGCATGCAACTCAGTTCAACTTACTTCTTCTTTGCATTGACATTTTTGCAGACCCAGTTCATGCCGTCCTGCAAAAACAAAAACAAAAGGGTTATTAGGTAGGTGAGACAGAAGGGGCAGCCTGTGCCCAGATCCGAACAAGATCACCATTATATTATTTTGCAACAGCATTTTCTGCTTTGCATGCATTCTCATACTCTATCCTGCATGTATCTTCCTAGATTGCATGTCTGAGCTTTTAAGCACTGCTTCTCCTTTAAGAAATGCAATTTCCTCTGCTCCATCCATACATACCATGATAAGTATCAGGAAACTGCCAAAAAAGGGAGGGAAATGACCTTGGGGTGAAACTGTGAAATAGCTTCCCAAAATATTTAATCTGAATAGATTATTATTTTTATTTATTTCATTTCCATTCCATCCCACAGCTGAAGCTCTCTGGGTGGCTTACAACATCCCATAAATCCATAAAATGCAATAAAAGTTTAAAGCAACTAAAATAGACAATAGCAAAGAATGTTCTACAGTACACCAGAGATGAGTAATCTCCCTCAACCCCCTGACTGGACAAATAAGTCTTTAAAGGCCTTGGAAAAGAGGGCAGTCTTAAGCTGGTGCTGAAAAGATGACTGATTCAGTGCTAGCCAGACCACAGTGGAGGGTTTGTTCCATAGATGAGGGGCCAGCACAGAGAAAGCCCATTCCCTTGTTTCCACCCTCCATAATTCCCTTGCAGGAAGTCACCAGAGGCTGAATGTACTGTCCAAGAACATTGCAGCTGGGAGAGGTGCTCCAACAGGTACTGTGGTCCCAAGCTGTGTAAGTCTATATAGGTTAAAACTAGCACCTAGAATTCCGACTGGAAGCATACAGGCAGACAGTGCAAGTGGGCCAGTCTTATGTGTTTGGATCTATGGGTACTGGTTATTAATCTGGCTGCTGCATTCTGCACCAGCTGTAGCACCCGAACCATCTTAAAGGGCAGCCCCATGTCGGGTGCACTGCAGTAATCTTATTTAGAGATTACCAGAATGTAGATAGTCTGAAGCTAGACTATCCCTGTCTGGATAGGGGCATACCTGGGCCACTAGCCAAAGTTGGCAGAAAGCACTCCAAGTCACTAAGGCCAACTGAGCCTCAAGTGACAAAGATGAATCAAGAAGCACCCCCAAGCTGCAAACCTGTTCCTTCAGGGCGAGTGCAGCCCCAACTAGAACAGGCTGAACACCTTCCATCTGGTCAAAGGAACCACCCACCAACAGCATCTCAGTCATGTCTAGATTGATTTTCAGTTTGTTAGCCCTCATCCTGTCCATTATTGCAGCCAGACACCAATTTAGCATATCTAGAGCCAAGTCTGCAGATAATGAAAGGAAGAAATAGAGGTACATGTCACCAGCACACTGATGGCAATTCCCTCCAAAACTCCAGATGACCCCTCTCAGTAGTTTCATGTGGATGTTGAATAACAAGAAGATAGAATAGACCCCTTAGGAACTCCATCCTGGAGCAGCCATGGGGCTGAACAATATTCCCCAAGAGGACCTTCAGGAGATGACCCTTGAAGTAAGGGTCAACTCAGACAGCTGCCCTGAAAGGATAATATGGTTGATGGTATGAAAAGTAGTTGAGAGGTCCAGCAGCTGAAATTAACAAGTGGCCAGGTGATGACATGGCTGCAATGACATAAATTCACCTTACATAAAAGAAAAAGCAATTGTCTTCGAGTAACGAAGAAGAAAGAGTTGTACAATGCCTGGGAAAGGAGACAGCAAAAAAACCTCTGTCCAGATGAACATAAGCTGTCGCCTTAAGATTCTTAGAGAACTAGTCCACTGGGGAGTGGCCCTCCAAGGTCTCAGGCAGAAGTCCTTCCATACTGGTTAAAGGACTTTTACTGTAGAGCTCAGGGTTGGCCAGTTGAGGTCAATCACAACTCAGCCAGTATAAGCATATACATAAATTTAAAGCTTGGAAATGATATATAAAGAATGACAAATAATGGGCTACATGAGTATCTACTATACAAAACGTTGCTGCTTTTGGTTTATTCAGACCCCAGTCTCCAAACCCTTCTGATTTTCAAAAAGCAGTTGAAGAATACCTCAATTTATATAGTCCACAGTTTTGTGCAAGTACGAATAAGTGACTAGAATCATGTATGCTGCTATGTACATTGCAGTATGTCAGAATGATCATGGAACAGTTGTCCTGCTGAGGCCTGCATGGCGCCAACCTTGTTACCTTTTAGCATCAGGTTCATTAAAACTGCCCTGTTCTCGAAGGCATTTAAACACATTTAGTGGTTTTAAGGGCATAAAGGGGGTTTATGTTAGCTTTTTTCCCTTCTGACAGGTCTTGTTTTATTGAGCTTGCTTTAGTTATTTTTTAAAAAAATCTGTTTTAAATGTTTTATGGAAACTTTATGCTGCTTTTACAGTATTTATACTTTTGCATTGCATTTTATTGTATTCTATGAATTGCTGTTAACCACCCAGAGACCTTGCGCTATTGGGTGGTAAAGAAATGAAATAAATAATCTTAATAAAGGACTGAAAGTCCAGAAGGCTTCAGCTTCATTTTTAAAACACACACAGGCAGATCAAATCAGTGGGTACTTCCAAATGGAAGACTCCTAGTGCTACCAGTCCAAATGCTTGGTACATCAATGCTGACTTTTTTCTTTAACTGATTTTCTGCAATAAGGGGGAAGGCCAGAAGAACTGGGAGAAAAACATAGAATTGTTATGAGTGGAAAATGACTTTGCCTAGATCCCCAGTAAAATTCTGTAAATGAGATGCGGCAATGAGCTAGATCAATCAGTGGTCTGACTCTGTATACGGCATTTTCTATGTATTCCCTATAACGACAGGGTAAATGCATGATAAAAGCCTCGTCAGCAAATGCTTTGTTAAAGGACATGGCCACACAGGAAGTTCAACATCCTCTGAAGACAATTCAGTACTTATTGTAGGAAGGATCCTAGGGAAGGTTTGGGTGGGACTCCTAAAAGTAAAGCTAGAAGGTTTCTGGACTTGACACTGTTCCCTGGCCCTCCTTATACCTGCTTACTTGCCCTCACAACCAGAAGCACCCATGGCTGCCCTTCCTTTACTGTCCTAGAATTATCAAGAAACTCTAGTTTGTGCAGATGCCTTCCACACATTGATCAAAATATAGGAAATAAACGTTCAGCAAAACCAGCAGTGTTTTCCAATTGCTGGAAAATAGACATGCCAAATCCCTCAATTCTAACGGGCCTTTTAGAAATCTGCTTGCAAAGTAAAAATTGTGGGTGGTAGGGCAGCTTTTTGCAACAATTCCTGCCATCCCTGTTGCCTCTGAAGAATTAATCATATTTGCACACATCATGGCGTACAAGGCAAGCAGCACTCCTCATTCATTTTGAATGTAGGTTTATTTGCTGAAGCAGAACAACTCAGACAGCTTAAAGTAATAAATATCAGCTAACACCCCTTCAATATTCAGCACAACAATCCCATAAACAATACATTCTAGCAAAACAACACACAGACATCCCATCTACCAGTACAAAGAAGGGCAGAAGCTACTATACAGAAGGATTCAAACATTGCCCAATGCCAGAAGGAAATTCAGCCAAAGGCTGGTGGGCTATTCGAACTTAGTACAGCAGAGGCTCATAAAGCAGAGTTTATGATCGGATTTACTATGGTTACAAGCCTGACTGTATAACAAGGGCAAAAGAATGACAAGACTCTGTGCAAAAAGAAAGGTGAACTGCAAGTGGCTTTTCAATTCATACACAGATCACTTGACTTTAAAGGCAAGAACTGATCCAAAAATTACTTTCATAGCAATAGCCTATTCAAAAAGCATTGTAATTGACTCTAATTCATTTGCAGGGTTGGGGAGGAAGGAGGTGTGTAATTAACACATTGCTTAACAGAAAAAGGGGCTAAATCAGAGGAACCAACACACACCATCATACACTTTGATGTACAGGTGAACAGCTTCCTGTATTCAATCCAGGGAACTGTCAGTATCATAGCTCACTAATGCAAAATAAATGTTTTAATTAGATCACTAAAATGCATAGAAGAGCTTAATGGGATCAAATGCTAGTAAAGAATTGGTCAGCACTGGCCAACATTGAAAGAAAACTAGTTGATACAGAAACAGAGGAGATATGAGAACCATCAGTAAAGCTGTTGTTAGATCTGTCTTATGCTTCTATTTTATTTAACACGAAGAAGAGCACAGTTGGATCAGTCTATGCTGTCCAACATTCTATTTCTGCCCAGACACGGCTGGATGCCTGCTAGAAGCCCCCTAAATTGGCATGAAGGCAATAGCTCTTTTTTGCTGACTGTGCCCAGCATTCGCTATTCAGTGGCAAAATGCCACTGAATGGAATGGTCTCATTTAACTGTTATGACTGTTCATAATGACTGCATGTGATGGGAAATAGTGGGTTAATTAAACAATCAATTGACAAGTCTGCACTGCACACAAGCCACTTCCAGTCTGCAGAAATGACCTATAAATATGACATTTGTAGGTTGTTACTTTGATGTCTGAAGTTGGGCACCTTTGGTTGTTCGCAGCTGTCATGCCTCCACTTGAGGACTCCTCATCTGAGAAAGGGCTTTACTCATCTAGCTGTAGGGATGCCTTGGCTTTGAAGGATGAAAAAGAAACAAGAACCAGGAGGGACACAATGGTAAGTAAAGAGGCAGGAGCCTCAAGGGGAATCTTCCATCTCCTCAGGGAGACAGAGCTGAAAAGACCACGCAGCCTCCAAGAATGCCACTGCTTGAAAGGAGGATACAGCTCTTCTTTCTCAGGTGGAGTATCAAGTGGACATGCCAGGCCTGTTTAATTAGCTGCAGCTGGGAGCATAAAAGGCTTACCCAGCATACTGACAAGGTGCTGGAAACAATGTATGCCCTGGTTTTCGCTCATGAACCCTTCCCTTCTTTGCCTTGACTGAACTTTAGCGAATGGCTCTGGATCAAATTCTGATTTGCTGATAAACGCACTCATTTACTAGTTTAACTGAAAGCCTAGGTGGGACTCTGACTCTTT